CTTCCAATTTTCAAATGAAAAGTTATAACCTATATTTTTGCTTTAAAATTTATGTCGGCGTTTAAAGGAACCAAATCCATATATTATAAGGGTGCGAGCAAATTTGATAACCAATTAGCTTTGAAGAACAAAATTGGCTAGTAAATTTGCTAACAAATTGACAAGTGATGGCTACCCTCTTGCAATATTGTTTAAAAAAAATAATTTACGCTATTAGATTGCAAAGAGAAATAGGAAAGAAAATTAAATCAATTATTAAAAGCATTTCACGTAGTAGAAATGTTATACATCAAAGAGTCATAATAGCTAGTAAGTAATAACGTTTACCATAGCGCAATTTGTACTGGAAAAAAAATGTTTATCCACGGTCAATAGTACAACAAAGACATCGCACAATCATAAAATTAATAACGCATTAAAAGTACAATAATAATTGTCTTTAGCAAGTGGAAGAAACTTTCCAATTATTTTTCGCTCAAGGAATATTACAAAGAATGATGGGAAATACTTAAGATATCTGTACCTCTCCATATAGAGTTGCATTAATACCACCTGAATGCAAATGAGTCGTTCCATAAATGAGATAACCACCTTTTTGCATTGGAATTTTTGTTTTCTGGACATGAGGAATTAATAAATCTTTAATCCTCACTTACTCCAAACAAATTAATAGATTGAAAAGTGTAATTATAAAATGCATTGGATAACAAACATATTTACCTGACACTCATGGAATGAAGTTGAACCATTGGATTTGATTTTATCGGTCGAATCAAGTACATAAAAATTAACAGGAATTTGTTTTTCGTCCCAGTCAACCCACCTTATTTTGTATCTTAGGGCAAGCTTTCTCTTTGGGCCTTCAAAACCCTCTCTTAATTTGCATTTTAAGTTGTCTTTGCAACATAGGAGTCCTCCTTTATAATCGGGGGTCAGTGGCTCACCATAAATGCCTTTTGTGACATTATAAAAGTCCTTAGGGAGATTCATAAGGTCACATCTGCAATCAGTACAACCTTTCCTATCTTGTGTACCACGTGTATCAATGGCCAATATGTCTAATAACCACCTCTCTTCATACCCATCTGGAATTTCTGCAGGGTTATGTAGTTCTACTGCAAAAGGGTCTGGAAGGTTTGAGGTTGTTCCTCGTGATTCAACTCCTAATCCCCAGTAAAGTGGAAGAATAAAGTCGTGGCACATGCCTTGATTCCTCTTGAAAATGAAACCATCATAATTCTTGGGACGAACCTTAGAGCCGCCGCGCATGCTAGCAACAGTAACATTTTCAATGTATCTTATAGCAAACCAATGGTGAAGGTATGTTTCATACAAAGGTACAGAGTTCCCATCTTCATCAATTAGTTCAGCATCAAAACTCTTGACTCCAATGTGACCTTTCGGGAATTCAATATCATAAAAACTTTTCCCCGCAACTAGTCCTGGCTCCATTTCAAACATTTCAGACACAAAAGTAGCTGACTTTATATGACTTTCGGGGTCCTCATGGGATGATTTGTCTCCATTGTCAGATTTTGGAAACTCAAAATTTAACAAATTTTTCCCTTGTAATGAATTTAAATCATTTATCCCTTGGAATGAATATGTTGTGCTTGATAGTAACACTAGTATTGATAATGAAAGTATCAACGATTTAGAGATAAACTTCGTGTTTACCTATTAGAAAAACCATCATTATTAATCACATGATTAGTTATGAATAATGTTTGTACGTAAAGTTATTCTTTCGTGTATACAAACATATGCTAAAAAAGTAGGCACATTAAGTAAGATTGAAGAAGACAAATTAAGTGTTAAAATTTGGAAGGAAGAAAAAGCATACCAGATGATCAGAAGAACATGAGTAAATGATCATTGTGGAGATTTGGTCTTTGTCGGAAGAATAATCAATTTTATTTTTGAATGCTTATGGAGGTGTTGTTTATTGCTTTTATAATATAAGATTTTGAAATGGAAAAGCTGGCGTAACTTAATGCCAATTCAACACAGACTCAAGAATCTTAATGCCAATTCAACACAGACTTAAGATTCTTGTTTCTGTTGGGCGTCTAAGTGTTTTGGATTTATCTTTAAGTTGTTTCTAGAGATTTTGTAAAGAAATTACAGCGTAACTGACAATGCAAACCATTCGGCAACTCTTTAAAGCCATTTATAGGCATAAGAAGTTGATGACCGCTGAGAGTTTTTCTCAACAAAAATCTTCTAATGGGAATTTCCTTTTAATGGCCAAGTTAGTTTGAGTTTTCTTTATTTTGGTCTGTTTTTCTGTTTTTGCTAACAAATGTTCACAACAATATGGGGTATCGTTAAATTCTACGGCCTATTCATAACCGACTTAGAATTTGGTGTCGTTAAATTATTCTGCATTGGTTTTTTTAAACCGACGGAATAACCGCCATTGAAATTGAAATGACGTTGTATCTTACAAAACCGCCGTGCAATAAGATTGAATAATTTAAACGTTCAGCTATATTTTATAAATTGAATTAAATGTTTGAATTTTTTTAATATTATTTTTATTCATATAATTAAACAAAACTCAATATTAATTGATTGAAAATTCAAATTGATTAAATATTCAGGCATTTCAATGTAACATCACCAAATTTATATAAAATTAAATGTAATTTCCAAATAAACAGAAATAATAATAGAAATAAAATTCAAAATATCTTGCATTAAAAATTAAAAGCCCGTTTATACAAAAAAACAAAAAAAATTAAAAGCCCCAAATATATAAGTAAATATATCGTTTACAAATAAACATAAATAAAATCGATTTATTTCCGTAAACATTTATGTCCTTCTCTTCCATAGTGCGATTTTAAGTTTTAACCTTCAGCTATGTCACCCATTCTAGATACAGCAGCCATGTGTAACTCAGACAAATGACTAGTCTGCCTCAACCAAGTTCTGTCATGGATTTGGGGATTGTGAGTTCATCACATTGAATCCTACTGAGCATTCGATCTTGCCAGGGTGAACAACAATGGACAGCAGCTATGAGCCCTTGTGATGTATCCTTCATGTAGGACATCTTCAAGGGGTTGTCTCCTAGCAAGTAATCCACCTAGAAAACAAAAATAAATCAAGATCAATTAACAAAAAGGAAATACACATAAGCACCATACTATAAAATAAGTGAAAAGTCTTACTTTTCTACCTTTTTTGTGCTATAGCCCTGAGCCTCTTTGGAGTAAGAGTGGTTCAACCACAGTTCACAACCATATGGGCTGTTGTTAAGTACTTAGCATAGCTTAAGAGTAGAAAGGAGGTAGATGTGACATATTGCATGTTGATATCACTCATCTTGAACAGAAACCAACCTGCATCATTTTTGAAGAGCAAGAAGACAAAAGTAATCGTTACTGATTGGACTACATAATTAAGACTTGAGACTGGGAGAGGGAGAGGGAGAGGGAGAGGGAGAGGAGCAAGAGAAAGAAGGAAAAGGAACCTGTCCTGGCGTCTATTGGGCGGAAGAGATAGCACCTTTTAAACAAGACAAAGATGTTAGACAGAGGGAGAGGGACTTGAGGAAAAGGAAAAGGAATTTGGACCTTAGAAAGCATTGGTGTTGGGGACTGACCTCAGTCAAGACAAAGATGAAGTGAAAAAAGTTCCACCCTTTACATTCAGAACAGAGTCCAACTATTCAATGATAGGCAATCAGGGTATTCTAGTGCCATTCATTAGGAGGAAGCAGAGCATTAATAACCCACCGACACAGCACAACGCTCAAGAAAACACATTTGTGGACCAGATGCATCCAACACAGCTGGCAGATATCAATCCTATCCTTGCTAAGGAACTTCAAACGGATAATGTTTTGATTGGTCACCTTGGGCGGCAAAATCTAATCCTCGTGGACTTCCAAGCAGGGGCAATGTAACAGATCACACTATAGGATTAGACCATGTTAATGAATTGAAAGTAAAATAAAGTAGGACCCGTACCAAGCCCAAATAGTAATAGATACACGTTGGTGAAAGATATAACGTGTGAATAGTAATAGAGAAGACAAGAAGAATTTTTTCAATTTTATAAATAAATGTGCATGCTTTTTCTTTTTCTTTTTCCTTTTCCTTTTCTTTAATTTCTATTTTTAATTTGCTACATGTTAACATTTATGTTTATGCTATTCTACTATCAAGCATCTCATCGTACCAGATAAGTTACATTTTGTTTATGTGTAGTCTTATCAGATAAGTTACATTATTCTTACTAGTACCGTGCTTGGACATGTATGGGCTATTAATTTTTTTAGTTTATGTTTTTTTTTTTAAATTGTATATATGGTTCGTAATTTTATTAAAAATTAAATTTAAAACTTTTAATTTATATTTCAAACTTAACTCAAATTAATTTTTAATTTTTATAATTATATATGATAGAGAAATATATTTCTTATTTCATCGTTGGAAAATAAAATGGAAGTCTATGTTTGATTTAGATTAATTTTGTTTTCAAAATAACTTTTGAAAAGCTATATAATATTTCAATTTTATTACAACAAAATCAAATGACTCTATTTGCTCTGTCTGTATATATGAAAGATGGCTGAAGATTATCTCATACCAAGTGGTGATATGGTATTGTCCAACGAAGAAGGATTTGCCATCTCCATCACAGGCCTTCGTGATGGTAAGCTATTACTAGCATCTTGATAAGCTGATTTAATCTCTTCCATGCTGGCATAGAAATCAATAGAAAAGAAATTACAAGAACCAATTAAAAATATATTACCAAATATCACATAAGTAAACTTCTAAGTTTCAATTAATTGACATGAATAAATACAATTATTATGATTTATTGTGACATTTTTTGTGTAAACCTTCCGAAAACATTTGTTATCATAATTTATTGTCATATTGATAGAGTTATTCTTGAAGAAAATTATAAGTGGAGACCATACACAAACAGAGGGACAAGGAGGTTTCAACCATGTCAGAGGCACTAAAACTTATGAATTGGCCACATAATTAGCTCTTCAAATATTATTCAACATTTGATAAAATTCATAAGTAAATATCCTTACCATGTCATTTTAGAATTTCCAGTACCAAGTTGAGGTTGAGCAACATATCCAGGGAATGCCAAGGAACTCCTATAACTCCAATTTTAATAAATTGCATAACAGTGACCCATCAGAGCGCAATGAAAATTAAAAAAAATATATATTACAAAAGGTAAAAGAAAAAAAATAACTACTCAATCTGTTCTGGAAGGATTACAAATACAAACACCAAACAAAACCACGTGCGTATAAATAAATTAGTTTACAGGATCTATCTGTAACATAGTAAACAATATAATTGCTTGATTTTTCAGAAACCAGGGATGCTACAACTTTTACTTGATACATGCGAAAATTGTATTCCAACAACCGAAGTGAAAAGTTGCAATAAATAGATTGGATTAAAAGTTTTCTCTAAGACAACAATATTGATCTCGTGGAACCTGAACATAAGCAAAAGTATTTATCACAAAGTTCATGTTTTGAGCATGGAAAGCAAATAAAAACTAGTATAGTCAATAAATGAGTCTCTCCTTACCCTCATTCCCGGATGGGCAACTTTTACATGCCAAATTTAAAAGCCTCTTTGCTAACACATAAAGACTTAAATCAAGCAGAGTAAGCAATTAAAGACTTAAATCAAGGATAACAATAGTTATATAAGGCTATAAGCTCACATAGTAAGAAGATTTTGAAGAGTTCACTTCAGATGCAAAGTCAAAGTAATAACCCAAACCATACTTAAATTCCTTAAAGAATACATTTAAGTACTCTGCCTCAATTCACACATGGTACATGCATATACAAAACAGTTTATACAATAGCAGTGAGGGTCAGGTAGTGATCAATATAAATTTTAAACAGAGAAAAATGATAGAAATTATAAGATTAAATAGAAAATGTGCAACTTAAGGCATTCTACACTTAAGGAAGCAATAATAGGATATGTCAATAGAATTGATGAGCAGAATATTTGGCATAATTTGTGCAGATTTGTAATTATATCCTTAATTAATTAGCCAGCTGTAGGTTATGATTGTGTAATTATATCCTTAATCAATTAGCTAGTTGTAGGTCATGATTGTATAGTTATGATTGTGTAATTATATCATACTATTTAAATGAGAATTCTCCAAAGGAGAACAGAAGGTTTTATCCCAATTTCTCCAAGTTTAACATGGTATCAGTCTAGGTTTCGTTACTAAATTTTTCGTTGTGCTCACAGTCTCGGAGTTCCCAAGTTCTAGTCTTTTGCGCGTACTGTTCACGTCGCGATTCTTTTTTTTTTTTCCTCTCGCAATTTTTCTCAGCATCATGTCTACTGAAAAATATGATGTTCTTTTTGTTCGTCTTAATGGAAAGAACTACTCCACCTGGGCATTTCAGTTCCAGATCTTTGTCAAAGGCAAGGAGCTTTGGGGTGATGTTGACGGAACTAATTCTGCTCCTGACAAAACTATGCACCAAGCGGCACATGCCCAATGGGAGGCCAAAGATGCACAGGTAATGACTTGAATCATAGGCTCTGTTGAGCCTAGTATTGTCCTCAATCTCAGACCCTTCACAACGGCAGCAAAGATGTGGGACTATTTGAAGAAAATATATAACCAAACAAACACTGCTCGCAGGTTCCAGCTTGAACATGAAATTTCTCTTTTTCAACAGGATAGTCTCTCAATTTCTGAATTCTATTCTCATTTCATGAATCTTTGGGCTGAATATACTGACATTGTCTATAAAGATTTGTCGACTGAAGGACAAACTGCAGTCCAAAATGTTCATGACACCACAAAACGAGATCAATTTCTTATGAAATTGAGATCTACTTTTGAGGGCATTCGCACAACCTTATGAACAGGGCTCCTGTTCCCTGCTTGGATGAATGTCTAAATGAATTGCTTCGTGAAGAACAACGTCTCCTTACTCAGACAAACATGGAACACCAGAAATCTGCCTCCCTTCCTGTAGCGTATGCAGTACAAGCCAAACCACGAGGTCAAGACATGAGTACTGTCCAATGTTTCTGCTGCAAAGGCCATGGACATTTTGCTTCCAACTGTCCTAAAAAGTTCTGTAATTACTGAAAAAAAGAAGGTCACATCATCAAAGAATGTCAAATCAGACCACCACGGAGAAATGCAACAGCCTTCACTGCCACTGTTGGCTCTTATACTACTCCTGTTTCTGTGGATCAGAATCCACCTGTTTCTGTGCCAACTTTAACCCCTGAAATTGTTCAACAAATGATTGTTTCTGCATTTTCTGCTTTGGGTCTTTCAGGTAAAGTTTCTTTATCCAGCTCTCCTTGGTACTTTGACTCTGGCGCATCCAATCATATGACCAACAATGTTGCTTCTCTTACCAATGTTACAAATTACTCTGGTAATTTACAAATACACACTGCGGATGGAAACAATTTACCTATCACAGCAATTGGTGATATTTCTTCATCTCTTACCAATGTTTATGTTTCCCCTGATCTCACCAGTAACCTTATTTCAGTTGGTCAATTAGTTGACAATGATTGCAAAGTTGAATTCTCAAAGTCTGGTTGTCATGTGCAGGATCAACACTCAGGGAAGGTGATCGCGAAGGGGCCTAAAGTTGGACGTCTTTTTCCTCTTTATTCATTGTTGTCACCATGTTCTTTTCAGCCTTTTATTTCTTGTAATTCTGCAACTGTTAATTTTCAATTATGGCATAAGCGTCTTGGTCACCCAAATTCGAATGTACTTCATGCCTTAATGAAATCTGGAGTTCTTGGCAATAAACATTTCCCATCTTTTAGTGCTGTTCAATTTGATTGCAATTCTTGTAAACTTGGTAAAAGTAAAATTCTACCATTTCCAGTTCATCAATCAAATGTAAATCAGCCTTTTGACATAATTCACAGTGATTTATGGGGCATCACACCTGTAATATCTCATGCACATTACAAATATTTTATCACTTTTATTGATGACTATAGTCGTTTCACATGGGTCTATTTTTTGCGATCTAAAGCTGAAGCTTTCTCTGCATTCCAATTTTTTCATTCCTATGTTTAAACTCAGTTTGCATCAAAAATTAAAACTCTGCGTTCTGACAATGGGGGGAATACACATGTCATTTGTTTCAAGAGTTCTTGCAGAAAAATGGTATATTATCTCAAAGGTCGTGTCCTTCCACACCCCAACAAAATGGGATAGCTGAAAGAAAAAACCGCCATCTTCTTGATGTTGTCCGTACCTTAATGTTGGACTCTTTAGTACCCTCCCATTTTTGGTGTGAAGCTCTCTCAACTGTTGTCCACCTTATTAATCGGCTACCTTCTCCAGTCTTGCACAATGATTCCCCTTTCTTAAGGTTATTTGATAAGCAACCCAATTATTCAACTCTTCGCACCTTTGGTTGTGTCTGTTATGTTCATCTTCAGCCACCAGAACGCACCAAACTCACAGCTCAATCTGTTAAATGTGCTTTTCTTGGTTACTCATCCCATCAAAAAGGTTTTTTATGCTATGATCCTCACTTACATAGGATTCGGGTTTCTAGAAATGTCATCTTTCAAGAAGATACATATTTTTTTGCTACTAACCAAGACACTCAATCTTTTACATCCAAATCTGCCTTGCCATTGTTTCCTAACAGCTTTGCAGAAGACCAA